GTTTATTACATGCTTTTTATTTCCTTTCCTTTCAATTTTCCACTACTAGCTCCAAAATACTATCAATATGACAGACTTCAGACTCATTGATGTCAATGACAGGAGGGAGTAGAGCTGGTGCAGTAGAGCTGCTGGTGCAGACCTTACCAGAGCAACAGAAAAGTTAAGAGCTTCTCTAAATACTGGTCTTTCTGAAGGTTACTTCATGGAAGTATGGCTCACATGGAGTACCAGATCACAGGAGAGCTTACAGCTAAATCTTCTGTCTCTTCGGTCATCTTTGACAAACAGCAGAGCTCATCTTGGTCATGTTTGGTTACTCAAGAAAAGGTCTTGTCTGAAAACAGGATATGATAAACATTTGCATCTCCCTAAGATTTTTAATATTCTTCTCTGAAGAACTGAATACTTGTTTTTTCTAACTGAGTCAGGGTTATTAGCTTTTTATCTGCTTCTGAATCAGTTGTTTCCATTTTGTTTTTCTTTGCAGGCTTTCCTCATGAAATCTTAAAATGTTACCCAGCATTTTTAGCAGCATTTGCAGCCACACAGTTGGATTTCCTTAGATCTAGCCCGGGAAAAAAAACTTGTCCTAGCTCCACAGGGATTTGTATATAGTTTTTAGAGCCTTCCAGATTTGAGGTTTCATCTTTTATCCCCTCCATAACCATAAAAGCAGAGGTTATTGTAACTGGCAGATGCTCAGTTTATGAAGCACAAACAGGTTTAGAATAACATGTGTGCAAGTGCCCAAGGTTAGATACTCAAGATAGTGAACAGAATTTAAGTTCACATTGTATGGAAAAGAACTTTTCTATTTTGTTTGGATTTTCAAACTAAGTATGAAAAGCTTTCAGTGTTCTGTTTTTGTCCAGCCATATGATATATGGCTGATTTAGCTCAGAATACTTTTCGTGCCTGATGAAATATTTCAGTCCTTTTTAATAAAATAGCACAGGTGTTTTATAGATTTTTATATTTCTAAATTAGTTGGTAACTTGTTTAAAAAAAACCAAAATATTGATTTTCTTTCTTTCCCAGTTTGCTCTTCTTGGTGTGTGTTGCACTAAATGTCACATTGAATTTATGACTCTGTGAAGCCACCTATACTGCAGAATTTTAAATGCCTAAGAGGTGTTTTTTCTTCCTGCTCTAATATTAATCAAATGACCAATCCTTGCTACTTACCTGGATTTCCCCCTTCCCCTTCTTCTTCTTTTGTTCTCAGAAAATTTGAGCATTAAACAATTAGACTCCAGGCAGAACAGCAAATGACACATGGATAATAATGAGGTCAGAAGCTCCCACATACAACCTGTTGAGTCTTCATAGAGGAGTTATGTCATGCTAAATTATCTGCATGTGTTTCTGATCTGTATTCTGGCAAGAATGAATGAGAGGCTGAGCATAATAGAGATCTTTAATAGAAGAGATGATGGATACATTCATTCTGGTGAATCCTACTCTGACAGAACTATGTCTACTGCCCTTGCTAAATCAAATTCGTTGTCAAATTAGCAGCTCAGAGAGCTGCCTGCTAGGCTGCAGAATCTGTGCTGGAAAAGGATTTCCCATTTTGGTTTGATTCTGCCACCTAATTTAGCCATCTCTTAACTGATCTTGGATATGTTTAGTACTGTACCGATTCTGAAAAAGCTGGGATTTGAGTCCAGAGGTGGATGGGGCTTAATGTTTCTGTGACCATGAACATAAGTGTGAATGGAGTGGTTTTGATCGTTCGTGACATCAGTTATTCCCTCATCTCCCTTTCCAATCACAGTCCCTAAGAGCTGCTTTCATGCTTTCTGAGTGCAGGGTTTCAGAGTGGAAAACCGGATCTTTACCCTGAAGCTGCATCAAAGCCAGACTGTGAATCTTGGGCTGTGACACTGGGAGAGGTGAACTCGGAAGGTTTGCAGAATAAAATTCAGCAGCTCCGGACGCTGATCATGGAAATCAAAGAGGAGAGACCATCAGATGAAGCACGACAGTTTTTCCCTTCATCCCAGTTAGACAGTCTAGGAGAGCCCCAGTTGACGAGTAAGTGCATTTACTCATTTTATGGAATGGTACAATAAAAATGGCCCAGTCTCTGTGGCAGTTCAGATAGTGTCACAAGTAGGGTACAAAATGCTGTTCAACTTCTTGCTTGTCAAAGTGCAGTTTAGATTAAATAAACAGATGAAAATTGTCCTTAAATGTTTTTCCCTGACATATTTTGGTTAATGCACATAACCTTCAGGGGAACAAATGTGTGATTTCTGTGTTTCTGAGTTTTTCTCTCTAACCTATTTTCTTCATAAGACTTAAAGCTTTTTTAATTTTTTTGTCTTTTATGTCTATATGGACTACTGTTTAAAATATAGTCTGATAACTTTGATAAATGCATAAATCTCTAGCGATACTTAAACTAGTATCACAGGTTTGTTCTATGTGATGTAAAAGCACTCTGGGGATTTGAATGCAAGTAGCCATATGCTGAGCTGTATTTGGTGCACTGGAGTCAGAAGACTGTATTTCAGTTTCACTTAATCAATTCTGTAGCCAGCATACTCATGAAGGTGTTTCAGGCCAATATGCTACTGTCAGAGTTGAACTCAGAAATTTGTTAAAGCTTAATTAAAAAAAAAAAAAACAAAAAAAAAGCAACATTTTAATTTTTTTAATTTTTGGACCATTCTAAGCTCTGCAGCTGTAATTTTCCTCACACAGATGTGAATGAATAGCTACACTAATAAGAACGGTGTGAATCTAGACTTAGCAGCATTGTGTTTTTATGGAGCAGACACAGCTATAAGTTTGGGGTGATTCTTTTGTTCATGGGTTTGTAAATTTTTTTTTTTTTTAACCAAAATCTTGTTCCAGTTCATATACTAACTGAATCCTTCCCATGTGACCCATTTCTTCAATATTGAGCAATAATTAATAATGCTTACTGGAGACAGTACAAAAATGTTAAGAAGATAGAGTTTACTTTCTACAAGTTAATTGAAACTGTAGTTGTGATCCAATTACTTTGTGCATCAGGTGAACAACTAATTGTTAGTCACCTTTCCCTCCTTGCTTCCTACTTTTCTCTTGTTGCATCTCTGTGGTTAACTCCTTTATTTTAGCACAAGAAAATATTGCCCTTTGCAATAGAACATAATTCCATAATGGATTAAACTGTTCCTGTTCCTGGTACGTAAGAAGAGGAATTAATGTATTGATTCTGCAACAAAAAGAAGTTGGGCTTATTGCTTTACAATTTGTAGATCAATGTGTTTATATTTTACTATATTAACCTGATTTACCTACTGTCACTAAACATGGACTTTATTTTTAATGTGATGATATATCTATTTAAAAATTATTTATGAGACTTAATATTTTCCCAATGCATTTATTGTCAGTTGTTGTGGCTGAAAATCTTACAAATTTATGAGAACCTGGGTTTTTTTCTTAATTCCCTTTCCCAGCAACAGAAAGTTTCTATAAAGAAGAAAGTCTTCTTCAAAAGTAGCCTTTTTTCAGGCAAATATTTAATCCAAGTTTGCTTTGACTATGAGTTTCTAACATAAAATGTTACATCAGTGGCAATGGCAGTAGTTATAGGCATGTGAAAGTTTTACTATGTATTAAAAAGCAAGACATGGAAATCAAATGATCTCTAATATTTTTTTTTTCTTGACCTTTTAAGGTATTCAGGGAATTGCAAATGAGCCAAAGCTGGAGTTCAGTCTTGGTAAGATACAATTTTGAATTTTTGGAATTATAATGGCCTGTGTGTGAGGAGTTTTTTAATATATATAGTGTGATATACTGTAGCATGTGACCTGTTTAAAAAAATTAAGGTCTAGGTGGGAGAAGTGCATATCTTTCAAAATGCTGATTTTAATTTCTTAATTGGTTGGGATGGCTAAAGGTTTGTTGAATTCTCTAGTGCTGTGGTGCTCTAACAGGGTGAAAATCTGCCCAACAGCTTTGCGAATGTAGTTTGTGAAATACTACTTATTTGGAAAAAAGACATTTAATTTGAAGTTTTTGAAACAATATTCAGATAAAAGTACTGTTGCTTTAGATCAAACTTTAATCTAAATGTGGTATTATTTGGTAGTGAAGAGGTAATGTAAATGTTTACCTGACTTTGCCATTTTATACTTAGTAATACTTAGTAATACTTAGTATGCTTAGTAATTGGTACATGAGAACTATATATTGTTATCATATGTAGCAGAATTGCTTTGGGAGAGGTTCCATCAGCTGAAGCTTCCCCCTCCATTTAGAGGGTACAGAATGATTCTGATTGCTCAGTAAGTCAAGCAGTCTGATTGAATAATGGTATATTTGTTATGCAAGGTCAAGGAGCACAATATGCCAGCCCAAACTGTGCAAAGCAAGCTTGGCTACTTTTCACTGTTCTTTCAGTGCAAAAGCTTTGAAGCCTTTGAATTAGTAAATGAAATCATTATTTTCTGTAGGAGCACTAAACAAAATAATTCTGTGTGGGAAATAAGAATGATAACTAGGTTTAGTTGATTAGTGACTGGACTCTCTTCAAAGTCTTTGCCAATGGAAATGATCCTGTGATTATTCCCTCCTGTGTATGGTAAAAGAACACAGTTACAAATAGTGTGACTTTTCAAATATTTGATTCTATGTGATGTCTGCATTCTGAACTAAAACTTGTCAAATTTATTATGATGTTTACATCCATATGACCTGCAAATATTTATCTGATACTGTGTAGCTGTACACTGAGAAATTTTTACACAGTGTTATTCAGTATCTGTTAAATTCACTCTGCTATAAAAACTTTGATAACATCTGTTACAAAACAGTGTAAGTGTAAGAGGGAGAAGGAAATACAGATAACTGTAAGCAGAATATTATATAAATGTCAATTAGCCTCCACTATTTGGATAATTTAAATAGTCTACAAATGTCCTTCAGAAACTCCAAACAGCAAACAGTATGGCATGAGTGATGTGGCTTCTGTGGTTCTGTTTTCGCCCCTTGCATTTTGGGAGCTTCTTTCCTGGCCATGTCCTTGGAACTGGGTTACAGTTGGCTTGTGTGCTGCTGCAATTACCCTGATTGGAAAGCTGACACCTTAAATCCGTGCCCTTTGGGACAGACACAGTTCTATTTGATACAACCATTTTTAGAATAAATTTATATGTGTATTTTTTATTTGTATATCCTTTAAAAATGAGATAGTTATGGCATTGAAAAAAAATTTGTTGAGTAGGTCATGGGTTTTTTTTCTGCATAGACTGTTTCTGCATAAATTGCCAAATGTTGGCATGGAACAAAGGCCTCATTCTCTGTTGTGGGAAAATCACCATAGTATAATAATCGCTAAGAGCAGATTTAACTTTTCTGTGTATTTCTATTTACATTTTATAGGTTATGTGACCATAGTATTTGGGCAGAGCAGTAATTGCAGCATTCCAGCAATAACAAACTCACACAATGACTCTGGTGTAGTATAGGAGAGGGAGGAAGGTGCTACAGGCACTGACTGCAAATTAGATGAGCAATGCTTCAGGAGAAGTTGCTTTCAGTAATAAATGTGCCCCAGCAGGCAGAAGTGTAAAAACAAAGTAAAGCCATTTTCAGACTTGTTTGGGCTTGTGCTGGATGGATCTCTGTTCACTCAGTGTCAGTATTTGTGTTTTGCATTGGGCTGTTTCTAGTAGGCATTTATGTTCTGTGGTTTGTTCTGCAGCATTATTGATTGAGTCATTGCAGCCCTGTGAGGAATCTTAAACACTGGATCCTGTTGCTGCTCAGGTAACAATTAAGAGTAGCAGCATAAGCCTCTTGATTTTGGCTGATACTCCTGTCAAGAGTCTTAAGTCAGGGATATTTGGCAGCACAGGCAATTGTATAAAGGTGTTTCTTAGTGTCTTGAAACCTTTTAACAGTACTAAATATTTAAGCATAACACATTAACATTAGTGTTTTGCTAATGACACTAATAACACATCACCTTTAGTGACTGAACCGTCCATTAAATTCTTAGCAGTTATTCTTCTTACTGGAGTATCAACATTCCCATTCCAAAACTTCCTAGCCCCAGCGACCTCAGTCACCAGCACTGTGCTGTTGGTTTGTACAAATGTACAGCAGACGCCTCCTGCTGATGAGTGACACAGGAACAATTTAGCTTGGAAGGATGCATCTGCTGTGTGGCCCAAACAGTTAAAATTCCCCTTGCAAGGGCAGCCAGTGGAGATGCCCCTGTGCTGTCCCCCTGGTTACTGGCAGGGTGGAAGGGACTCTGGGGACTCTGCAGCCTGGCCCGTGCATCTGGGGAGCGCCACTGCTGCTGGCAGGCTGAGGACACTGCTTGGCTGACACCATCCTCTGAGAGATTTTGTCTAAATAAAGACTTGGCATTCACTTCAGCTAATCAAGGACTTCCAAGATCTCTCTCTGAGATGAGGCAAAGCATGGTAAGCAGGGATGAGAGGGGAATTTGCTGCAAGCAAGCACTACGGGTATGATGTGTGCCTGGCTTGGGTAACCAAATCTTAGGGCTCTGTAGAGACATTTCATCTTGATTGGACTGGTATTTGGCATTTAGAATTTGGAAGGCCAGTCTGACAGTTAATGATGTATAAAGCTGGTCTCTAGCCCTGAAAGAATGGCTTATGCCTATAATTCCATTCATATTCATTATATAATCAATACTATTATATTAGTTAAGTAGCATACTTACACATGTATGTGCAAATAGACATTTGCTTCTATCAGTTGATATACAAATGTATTTAGATATATTTAAAAATTGTAACATCTCATAATTGTAGTTTAGGTCACTTGTCAGTCAATAAATAACATTCAGAAGTGGAACTTCAGTAACTAAAACAAAATACAGCTTTTAAATAATATTTGAGTGCTGCCTAATACGTGAGTTTTATTTAGGGACATTGTAAGTAAATGCTGCTGTTCAGTATTTGAAGTTCTGATAACTAAATTTTTAAATAATGATATTAAAATTCTTTCTAGGGTTTTGAATTTTGTTGTGGTAGTTACCATGCAACATCCTATGTCCATAATACTCTGGAAAGCATTCTCTTCATAAAATGTCTAACTATTGCCTTCTCTTATTTTATCTTAAAGTTCAATAAAGTGGTATTTTTTTTCTTTTTCCCTGAGGTTGAAGCGAAGAATAAAACTCACCTGAATTACAGCTTTCCTCTGCAATACACGGCATTTTCAGGAGTGTGCCTGTCTTGTAATATAACTTCGGAGTCAGAGCATCCTTTAGACGAGGATTTTTGTGTTTTATATTCCTGAGGACTCTGTGGAAATGTGGGTGATTTCTGAACCTTGTAGCTGCTGCTAAGTTTAACTTTGGAAAGTCTCTCTTGTTTGGCATTTTGAGTGCCTGTGTTCTGCATGCAGTTCCATGAAGCATTAGGAGGTAGAATATGACAGCCTGTGCAGGTTGCTGAGTAGAGAGGAGGAGCAAAGCAAAAGGAATGAAACCAGATACTGGGCCTGAATAACAAACAAAAACTGATAAAAAGTGAAACTGATAAAAATCTTTCCCACGACTTTGAAGTGTGCAGGGTTAGATCTTATATGTATGTTTATTTTGAAGCTGCTCTTCTTGGTTGATTCTCTAAAATATCCCAGCCCTTGAGTACCAGATCTAACTAAATATGTTGTGGGTTCCTGACTTTAAAATAGCTGTGCTACATCAATGTGAAGTATGTGAGCCCAGATGATGTACAAGGTTATAGTTATGGGAGATAAATTATATTGTGTATTTTGATGAACACTACTGTGAAGTTTTCAAGAGCTTGTGCTTATAAGGGTATTTGATAGTGAACTGGCAAAGCAGCACAAGAAAACTGCAATAATCAGAAAAAAGAGGGAACAGGGTAGAATGCACAGTTGGTGGTCAAAGTGCTCAAACGTGAACTTGGTAATGGACATGATATTAATAGGGAGAAATATGGAAATAAGTTTGTTAGCTACTCTCTCTATAACCAACATAATTTTAGTGGTTTTGCATTTGTCTAATTGCTTAAAGTTGTGAAGAGAGGGCAAGGAATATGGTGGTTGTAGTATGGTAATAGTAACCAAAATGGCTGCGTAGAACAGAATGTCTCTGCACATAGCATACCATATGCAGGTGGTAATTTTTATGACAACACCTGTCTGACATTTCCAAAAGTGGTCTTTTTTTTTTTTTTTACAACACCTGTCTGACATTTCCAAAAGTGGTCTTTTTTTTTTTTTTTTTGCAAATATATTAGGGCAGTAAATTTTGATGGACTGTTCTGTTGTTGAGTAATCTCTCGGTACTTTTCAAAGTGTGAACTAATATAAATCATGTGATTATGTTTTTACAAAATCTCGTTAAATAGTGCACAAATCACAGAAAACTTGAGCAAGTACTTGAAAGAATTAAAATTAAAAATTTCTAGGTTATTTGTTTATTCTTTTTAGCAAACAGTGAGTTGATACAAAAGCAGTATACCTGTAAAGGCAGAAGTTTTTATTCTCCACAATCTTATTTTTCCCCAAGTGATATTGTGATGCCATCCTTTTGGAAAAGGTCTCGAAGCAGATTTAACTCTGCATACTGAACATAAATGGTACATCGATGCTGCTCAAAGAGCATGACTAAATGATTTTTTCCAATTCTGAAACATAATATGGAGCTTTTTCATCAGCAGCTGTTCCTGGACGAATGATAAGCAGAAAGACTTTGTTTTATCCTTACCACAAACTTGAAGCCAGTCTTGATCCTAGCAGAATTTGCCGACTTGGTTATCCTCCTGCTTCATCAAGTTATGAGTTGGTGAATAAATGATACTTTGTTGTGTTAGCCAAATAAAATTGTAAAAAAAGTCGTCATCACACTTTCTGAGTAAATCTAAAAAGTGATAATTTCTCTGTGAATCAAACTCACAGTGTCACCTACTGCTGAGGGATATTTATTCCTCAAAAAAGTTGTGTTGGCCATGTTAGAAACAATAGCAGTGAAAATATAAAAATGAAGGCAGGGTTTGTGAGTTTTAAATTTTATTTTATTTGTTCATTTTGCTCTTTGTTATTGTAACAGTTTTCTGAGTTTTACTTGAGTTTGTTCTGCTCCCACACAAATTCCATCTTCCACCAAACCAGCTAGTCAGGTTTTTTTTTTTTCCTTAGTTTTACTGACGTATATTAGATACTGTTACATCACAACAACAAATAGTAAATAAAAAGACAATTTATATTGAACAGAAAAGATTGAGGATGTAGGAAAAAAAAGCCACCACATGATTGGAAACAATGATCTTGTTTTCATCTGGGTGCTATTTATTTGACTTCTGTCTGCTTTGAGACTTTTGCACTGCAGCATAAATTGCCTTAAATGCAGTTTAGTCTTAGTAACTCAGTGCTGCTAGGTTGAATCCTGTTTTGACTGAAAGGAATCCTCCCGAAGAGATAGCAACTCAAGCCCTGAATTGCTTCAATTATCTGAGACTGTGTTGGCATGTTTTGACTTAGGGCTTGTAATGTTTTTGCAGTAACTTCTGCAGAACTTGAGCTAACTTGCAGTCAGTTTCAGTGCAGATAAAGCAACAAGTGAAACAGTCTTCCAAAAAGGCTCTAAGGTAGTGAATGCCTATCACCTTTCACATCATGTTGTCACCTCTCTTGGCAGTTTTCCATGATGGACAATGCATATCCAGCAAATTGATAAGTGATGTTGAGTTAGTGACCCCTGAGGAGAGTCAGCTCTTCTTGCTGTGCTCTGGCATTCTCCTGCACTCTTTTTTTGTTATATGCAGACAGTGTGTGAGCATTGCTGAAAAGTGATTTGAGAACAGATTTGCCAAGACCTCACATCATTTTTTTTATCCACTTCTCCTCCCATAGTACTTTGCTCACTTTAAGGAAGGCTTTTATGATTCTGTGATAGCCCTTGCCACACTGAGGCTGACTGGGTTTTTTAAATAGGCAGCTTTCTGAAGCACTGCTCCTTCATCATTGTGCATCTCTTTAAAGTATCACTCCTGAGTTTTGTGTGTTTCAAATTCTGTCAGAAAGAAAGGCTAAAACTGTCTATATACTACCATTAAGACTTGGTAATGTTGGAAAAACAAACCCAAGAAATGGGATTTGTGGGGTGGGATGTGTGTGTGGCATGGACACATACCCCAAAAAGCTTAAAACCAGAATCCTTTCAAAAACTCATATACTTTTTTGTTTTTTTTTCCAGCTTAAGTGGGTTTGAGTCCTAGAGAATTAGGCTAGATTTTTCAATTTGTACCTGTATGCACTGTAATTATAGAAATCTATCCTTCAATCCCTTTAGGGCAGGGATTGTCTTCATTTGCATTTTAGCTAGAGAAGCAGGATGCTGTCACGGTTCTTAAATATTACTCTGTACTAATTGTAGGGTTTACTATGCAAGGACTCAAAAATTACAAACATGAAACTTGGGAATATGTACAGTTAAGTGTTCTGCTTTTTGCATATTAATAGAAACTGAAAGCCCTGTTTATAATACTAGGTACTTTACAATTAAATAAAGTTCTTCATGAAATTATCTATATAGAGAGTTAGATAGCTATTCTATGTAGTCCATGAATATGAATTTTTTTTTTTTGTTGCTGAAAATATTACATCTAGTGTAGCATTACTCATTTTTGTTACCTGCTTTGTTTCTGTGTTAGTAAGAAGGAATGCCTAATAGAAGTAGTCACAGAAATATTTCCAACTTGTGGCGCACAGCGGCACGCTTGGTGTTAGCAGCAGGAGGGGGCACGACACCTCCCCCGGGACCCCAAACTTCCTAAGCAGTCGCCGATGGATCATTGCAGAGTGACGAGATGGGCCTTGCTTGCTTCTCTGAGGATTGTTTGTTATGCCAAAAGGGCAAAACTAAAAGCATCCCTAACTTGAATACAGAGCAGAGGCAAGGAGCATGGCACACCCAGGGCAGTGGTTTTAAGGGACAGGACCAGGGTGGAGCTGGGGACTAGGAACCAATACTGAAGTATCAGGGGAGGAACATAAGGCAGGGATTATAATGTTTAAACCAACAGGGAGTTCCAGGGGTGGGGAACAGCCGAACTAAACCAATGGGGCAGCGAGGGATACATAAATGACAGGGAATTCTGTGGAACAAGGGGTAGGACCTATGGAGGACTGACAGCAGGGACTGAACCAATGCGTCAGGGGAGGGCGGGGTATAAAACCAACTCTTAAAACCGATAAAATAAGAGAAAACACACTGCAACACCAACTTGTCAGCATCCATTGATACTTAATGCTTTTCATTAACCAGCTTTGACTTGTGTAAATTCAATTTCTGTGTAGGTGTTAGAGATTAAAATTCTACGTTACAGGGTGCTATGTAGCAGTTAGTCCCCACGGTGGGCTCCGTAAATGCAGGGATGTTTATTTGCTCTGAAGCGGGTCAGAGCAGAGGACGAACCTGCAGGAGTGAGCAAATCATTACTGTCTGAGTATATTCCAGTGTGATGGATTTACAGGAACCTGCTGATGCAAGTAGTAAGAAACATGAGGATGTTTTGAGTATCCGTATTAAACCCAGCTGCAAACTGAGTTTCAGGCAGTTTTCTTCCATGCTGCTCCATGAAATTGAAGTATTTCCTGTTTCCATAAGCTTTTGCTTCTGTGAAAAAAAATTGTATTCGAACTACTGGGAGAAAGCGGTTGACATTCTTGTAAATATAAATATGTATAAATCAGGCCTGTGACTAAGGGAAAACTTTTAAATCTAATAGCATAACGATTCTCACAGCAACTTTCACATGTTTTGATATAAACACTTATCTAGAGATAAATTTTGAATAGCTATGGCTAATCTGTTTAGAGAGGAGTTTGTAGATGCCTGAATTTGAAAAGCTATTTAACAGTTGAAAGGGCTTTTTGGAATTCAGCCATTCTGAGAGACAGGGGTTTATCATCTCAGCTCTTGAGTGATGCAGCAGATAATAGGATTAAATTCTGTCAGAAATGTACAAATTCCGAAATCTTGTCAGTTAGAAAACTGCTGCATTTATAAGTCTAAGGAAAAAAAAGGAGCATAAGACTAGGAAGGACCTTTCTTTTTCAAACCTTAAATAAATAAAATTAGTAGGCTTCTTAGTAAAATCAGGGGTTTTCTTTTCCTTCCTTCCTTTCCTTCCTTTCCTTCCTTTCCTTCCTTTCCTTCCTTTCCTTCCTTTCCTTCCTTTCCTTCCTTTCCTTCCTTTCCTTCCTTTCCT